AAACATCTTTTGATAATTTTGACAACCTTTTCTTCACATCTTCATTGAAGTATATTGTATGATTGATGTCTCTTGGTTCATATCACTAGCGGAACGGCTATCCCATACTTGGCTAGGCCCATTCCATTGAGGCTTGATGATCTTTGCATCAATACCCTTCCCTCGTGCTACAGCCAGGTCAATACCACTGACAAAATTCTCATTCGCAGCCTCTCAACCAACATGTTGGGATTCAGCCTGCTTTTTCGAAGCCATCCTTTTATATTATATCTCCTACAGACCCAACCTGTTGAAGAAAATCTTCCTGCCCTGATCTTGATTATGGAACTTCTGTCCACTTCACAAGTCCGGCTGCCAAAGGCTAGCACAAGCGAGCACTCCTAATTCCATTTCACCTGAGTGAGGGTTTGAAAGCTATGGTGGGCTGTCCATTTTCTCCCCCAACAAATTACCTGAATTCAGAAGGATTTTGACCGCTATCCCCATACTCGACCCCTGCATGTGGAGGCCTTAGTCGACCACTACCAAATAAAGAGGATCGTCGATCGAAACTGGTGCAGGATTTCATATTTGCATAACAGCCAGGTAGTTGAATTTGGACCCTAAAAGGTTTGCTCCTCACTACAGCTGCTTGTGCATATGACAGGACCCCTCGAACCGCGCAAGGTATAGTAGTTCGACTGAATCTCTAAGTGGGACCCCTTGTTCGGTCAACTCTATTCCATATAGCGGATATACTACAATCGAAAATGTTGGTAGAATGACCTTGGATCCACGCCAACTTGGTTGTGGAATCCTCATATCATAATCAAGTTTCCCATGAACAGATGATGTCTCTACCTTGATAACGCCCCCGTCAAACCAAGCTTCATTCGACGTTCAGTCCCTTCTCCTCGATCCTGTATTGATCCACGACCATTCTTGGTATCCTTTCTTTGGTGGATATCCCACATGAAATTCGCAATGAGGGTTCCTCCTCGAGACCACGTTGTTTAGAAAGAGGTGGGCTTGTGGCTCAACTTCTTCGATTAGGCTACCACCTGGGGCTTGGTTTAGGTGAGGATGGTATTTCCTACCCGATGAGTCTCCCTCTTTGGTCTAGGCTTTGACCCCAATGTCCACTTTGAATTGAGAACGTCCCACTATTCATAGACTGAACACAGCTTCCACTGCGGAAAACCCCTCGCTACACAAGTCGCGTCACCGCATTTGTTCAGTCGGGTCTCCAAAAGGTGATTCAGGCTCACAAGCACGATTGACCGGAACTGGAGTCTCGGATTTAGCAGTTCCATGGCTGCATATTCAGTCGAGCACATGTGACTGAGTCGCCCGTACCTGAGCTCGAGAAAGATTCTTTATACTGACCGTATCTGCTTCAACTTCACCCGTCACTCGTGTCGTGTAGTGTAGCAAGACTACAAGTCAAGTCTCAGCAAGGAAGATTTTGGGCCCCAACGACAAAGGAACGGGCATTTTCGGGGACTAGCCCGCTTCCCATTACTCAACGAGGAAAATTCCTCACACATAATTAACGGAGCCATTGAAAGGTGACTGAAACACCAGAAACGGCGACTACCCGAGCTAATGATAGAGGCAAGAACACTTTCCGGCCAAGTCCCATTAATTGATCATAACGATATCGTGGAAATGCTGCTAAATTTTTTCGAAGTGAGAGAAGGAGGGAAGGCGCGCTACAACTAATAGAACAGCCAGCGGAAAAAGGCTAGCTAGTACAAGACAAGGTGCTGCTCGCTTTCTCTCAGCCACAAGTGGCTTCTTTATGTAGTGGTCGGCATTCATTCCTACGTGCTCCTCCTTGCTCACCGACTTCAGAATCGAAAAGTGCCCTTTGGATGTTGTCATGACGCTTTGGTTACGAAGGTTGGCGGGGTCTAGGTTTATGGATGGATTCAGTCAACGAAAGTCCAACTCAATCAATATCAACAAGATGTCGTGACCAGTTAGGCTTGGTTGATTTTGTCAGAAAAGAAAGTAGGTTTCGTGGGTTCATTGATTAGTAAACCTCCGGTGCTGGTAAGGTCGGGACCGTGGTCGTCTGTCTCTGGTTTGCCGGCCGATAAGATCTTTGAGATTGACCAGCCAGCTGGGTTGGTTTGGCTATTCCTTTCTATTGAAAAGGAGTCAACTGTCTGCGCGAGTCACCTTCTTCTAGGCTTCGCTGGACGACACGACATTCTCGTTCAAATATAGGCCGGTCGTACTTGTGATGGTTCCCAAGGATCCAATATGACCACTTAGGTCTACGTTGCCACGAGTTCTATGGAAGCGGGCGGGTAGAAGTTCGGCCCGGTTTTTTTTTGGTGTCGTAGGGGAGGGATTGACCTTTATAACGCATATTCAGTCGTATCGGCATGGCCCCACTGATTGATTTTCGATCTGAGCATCCAGCAGCGCAACCCGGTTCTACTTGACTAAGCCCCGTGCTCGTCCAAGGAGGGAGTTTGCTTTACCCAACTCTCTTTTTGCTAACAAGGCAGAACCCCCACCCAAGATTCATTAGTTTCGAATGAAGAATGAAGAGTGCCCTGCCCCTGCAAGCATCTACTCCTATCAAAATGAAAAGCGTGATTTTACTAAACAAACAAGAAAATCCCTTTCTATTAGTCAAGGGCTTTAGGCTTTACTAATAACAAACATAGAAGGTAAGGCCGGCTTTTGAGCTGTATCTTTACAACGAGAGAGCTTAGATAGGGCCCTTTCTTTCTTTCTTCTTATTAGTCAGATAGGTTGGTTGTTTGAGCGCATTTTGCCCTGGATTATTATTATTAGTCAGGTTTTCAAAAGGCGTAGACAACTTTCTGAAAAACCTTTTTGTTTAGGGGTAAGGGGAAGGGGGCGCTAACGCCACTCTAATACGCCCTTATTAGATAGAGTCTGATCGTGGCTTTCGCCTGCTCAATCCCTTGGTTCAAGAGGTTTTTTTGGCTTCCCTCAAATCACGAATATTTGAAAATTGGTAAAGACCCACCCCTTGTTTCAGTCAGAATGAATCCCCGGGACCCCGGGACATTGGCTTCCGCCAATAGTGGACTATTAAGGATCGCATCCCGTGCATATTTTACATTATAGCCTGCAATTGATTCTGCTTCCGCTTCTGGGAGATCAAACGGAGCTCGATTAGTTTCTGCTAGACGAGAAATAAAGAACATAACCAATAAAGGGAACAAGGGAATACCAGACTATATCTGCTTTTGCGCCATGACAATCTCATTCAAATTATGGTGACCTACACATATTAGTACAGTATACCGTGTCCCCGGCCAGAACCACACGTGCAAGTTTCCCTGCATGTGGCTCGTCCGTGCTTTCCGAGGCGCTGCCTGTGACTCAGAATGGGAGAAGGGGGTGGAACTGCACACTTTCGTGTTCAGAGCATTGT